GTCATGGAGATTAAGTTTGTTAGTATTTTGTGTAGTACATACTAAATATCTTATTAGCACCAAAGGGAGCTACACACGTATAACCGAATGCTTTCATTCTCTGAAGATCATGCATAAATCCATAGGAGTAATTGTCAATAACTAAAAAGCAAAAAAGTATTAGGGACGCAGTTCGGAGTTTCAATTTCGAATATTCACAGCTTACACACCTTATCCAGAGAATGCAAGATTATTTGTATAAGTAGACGCTTAACTAAAAGTAGACAATAAATTAAAATAAAGAGGGATAGAAGTAGCAGAGGAGAATTCCAATCTCTAAACCAAAGGACAAACCATATAGATATTCCCATAGTAGAATTATCCTTTAGACTTAAATCTGTGTAATAAGAAATTTGTTTGGATGGGGGCTATTTGGTAGAGGATAGGCAATCTGAAGACCTGCTCTGCTCTAAAAATCATACTCTTCATGTAGCTCAGGCTAAGATTGTATAGCTTGGATGCTAGAGTGATTGTTTAGCACGCCAATGACTTGAATCTCGCTACCGAGACGATGAAGACCGAAACCACAAAGAAGCCAGAATGAGGTCCTTTTGGAATGCATAGTGGGACTCAATGCTACAATGAAGCCTTCTCTCCAAGTCATAGTGAGAAGATGCGATGTCAGCCCAATATAAAATTATTCAAAATTGTACCCCTCGACAGCCCTATAATAATAACTTATTTGATTGAGTAGCAGACGCACCTTGATAGGGCATTAGGAATCAGGAAGAAAGTTTATCAATACGAGTATAACCCTCTCCTATCGATTTACCGCACTGTTATGGAATGAACGACATTAAAGCTGCTGTGTTAGCTGCAGCCTGAGACCAAATTGGCATAAGTTGGTATATATCTGATATAAATTGAAAAGGTCGGCAGGGATGTATATTTTTAGAAGGTTAAAGCGAGGTAACTTAGTTTTCTTTGCTTCATAAATGAAGCAAAAATGTTAACCAATATTGGCCAAGACTCGAGATAAAATGATTGCTCCCCTATTATAACCAGAGATACATCATGATAAGAGAAGAGAAGTTTCCATCAATAGCACATGGAATAAAATCATTTTCTCTTTACTCCTTAACATTCAGGCTACAAGTCCAATTCCACATGAAATAGCAACCATTCGTACAAAAAAATCAAGTTATGAGAGGCGAGAGTAAAGAGATTAATTAACTATTACCCAAACTAATAAAGAGAAGCATGGACGATCTGCATTGCATAGGACAAGCGAGTGAATAAGAAACCTTCGTAGTAGTGGTAATAGAAAAAGGCATGAATTTAGATCAATAGTCTACAACGTTAAAGCAAGGAATACTATAAAAAATAAGGACTAAATAATAGGTAAGACAAGCATGACGCACCAATATATGTTTACAAATGCCGAGCCTTAGCCCAGTGTGAATGGAACAATATGATCACCTATTATATGAATCATAGAAACAGGTCTTTTCTCGACCGATCCCAGATATCCTCAATCTGACTATACATAGGAAAGACTACCAGAAAAAGGTAGCAAATGAATAGAAAAGGACAATGAAAAGAACAGATATCGGAAATCAGACACAAGCTTTAATTTATGGTGATTCCGAGTAGATAAAGAGTATAATAACAAAGAAAACTTTAAAATAAATGCTGGAAAATATAGACCGACTTAGTAGAAGCGAAAAGCTTGGAGATAAGGGAAAATTTGTACTTAGGTCGATTCTGCACGAACTTAGCAAAATATAGCAAAGGAGAAATCATGCATAGTTCACCAGTCATATAATTAAATACGATAGAATAAAATAGCTTAAAGCTGTGGATCCGAGGAAGCAATGCAACTTACGTCTGAGCATAATAAAACAAAAATAATAAAAAATAAGGTTCAAACCAAATGCGCTATGAGCGCAGTCAAATATGAATAAACAAGAAAACCAAATGTGTTAGTTCGACCTCATTTTCGCAGCTTGGTAGGAAGACCTTGTGAAGCCTACCTAGTTCTGTGTCCTCTACCATAGTATTCGTGATTTTCAGCATCGCCAGTGAGAGACGCCACCGTTAGCACAGAGCTACAATTAATGTGGCAAGTGAAGGCAATCCTCTTGACCAATTTTCTGTTCAAGCACCTCTCATTTGTGATGCCGGCGAAAAATTTGGAAATGTAAATGTCCCGATGCTAGAAATCACGAATAATATGGCAGAAGACACAGAACTAGGTACGCTCCAGTCTACATGACGCTCTGAAAAAATTACGTAAACGATGTCGAGGCCATACAAGCTTAGTCTTCATATCTACGAAGAAAACAAACTGTTGACAGCAGATTGTTAAGAAGCAATATAATGGTTATGGGATGTCAACCAGGAAACTGTGCAACAACTTACCTAAAACAAAAAAATTAGTTATAGTGATAAATTAATAAAGCTATGGAGGCTTAAAAGACGAAATTAAGATCTTAATATAACTAGTAGAATAAACTCCACCTTCATGACGTTGCATTATTTCTGTCTTATGAAGGTGGGACTAAGATTTAATTATGCGAAAATTCCAGTAGTCAATTCATTCCCCGAAATCAAGCGATTACCTTTTCGTAGCCTTCCCGAATCACCTCTAGTCCGGTTCCAGATTTGCCTATAAGTATAGGATGAAATCGACATGGCACCGCGATCTCCTCGGTAACCGAACTCTCCGCCCGCTCATAGACCATGCTAATGGCTCTTCCCAAGGACTCCGGGTAACCACGGAGAACTACGGTTTCAGTAGAACTAGTGTTTCCTCCGCGCTGAGAATCATTGGGTTGTCCGATGGGAGGTGGCATTTCCACAGAGACTCCAGTGGCCGCGAGGATTTCTGCTAGACCTGAGGCACAAATGCCCATGACCAATCGCAGTTTGGATCGGTCAAGTTTGATCTCGAGAGTTTTGCAGCGCTCCTTCTAAGAATCCAGTATAAAGAAATGCGTAAAGAATAGGACAAAAAGAAGTTATTAATGTAATCTATAAGAATGGAACAAAGCAATTATGCAACCCGACTTAATTTGAAATAGATGAGGAAAAAGTTAGCATTGGATACGAAATGGCAAGGAGAAAGCTTTAAGAATTAGAGTTATTTGTAAGGCTCGGGATAATGACCACTTCAATTATCTAACCCAAGCAACAAAATCAAATGTGTATCTCCTAAAACTAGCAGGAGCTACACATCGTACTCATTAGGGATGGCAAGATAAACGATGCAAGTTTACGTTGCAGGAGAAACCTAGAAAAATTTTCAAATCGTGGCATTGTCAATGGCTCAAAATATATTGATTATGGTTATCATAAATAGCAGATAGAGAAGATGCTCATAGTGGATCACAAG